TCACCCGAAATTCAGCAGGGGCGAATACAGAAACCCTGGGATGATCCCATCAGATAAATATTGACGAAGGTTGCATTGCGAGACGCTAGCAGCAAAGGGGTATGTGTGCTTGGGTTCCCAGTTTCGAGTTGTTTTACTTTTACTTCGCTTTTGAAGAGATCTAATGCATTTTAATTTGCATTTATTGTGGAAAAACCGGCCTATAGATTTGACAGATCATTTAGAAACGGTATAGTAACTTGTATGAAGGCAGTTGTGTCGTAAGCAGTCGTTGATTGGTGTTAAAGAGTTTCAGATTTAATGGTGGAAATCTCAACATTAAAATATCGTACTGGATGAATTCTGGTGTATTTTAAGTGCATTTGCTTTACGAAAATTTTTGAGAATACATTTTGACAGCTACAAAGACGCCGCGGTGCACATACCTATATGTCTAGTGGTTCAGATGGGACAAAAAAACGAGGTCCCGTGTACACATTGTCCTGTACGTAAAAGATCACTTGGTAGTTGGAATTCGATATAAGAGTAGACCATAGTGCCGCTGCTCGTGCAAAATTTCTCTCATAGCACACTGGCGTGTGCCCGTCTTCATTAGTCCAGTCAGAGTAGAACATTCGGACGTTAAAACTTCATTACATTTCTATATAACAATTGCTTCGAAATACCTGAACAAGTAGATTTAAAGATTATATGCGAATTAATATATGAGTTTGATTTGATTTTCAGCTCCTCGACCCGCCTCTATTTTTAACAAGAAGAAACAAGAGAGGTCAAACTACTTAAAGGCTGCAGGACCGACTATACAAAAAGCTTTTGGACAGAGCTAAACGCCAAATAAGAAAGGAGATAGGAAATAGATTTTATGGTTTTTGACCAACTTCTCGGGAATTTCAAACAAATATTGAATTAAACTTTAACTCAACCTTTCTGATTTTAAAATTTCTTTAAAGCCGCAATCATTTGAGTTAATATTAAGCTTAACTGAGTTAATATTAAACTGAACTGAGTTAATATTCAACATAACTGAGTTAATATTCAACTTTACTGAGTTAATATTAAAGTTAACAGAGTTAATATTCGACTTAACAGACTTAATATTCAACTTAACTGAGTGTGGTTATTTCAGTATCTGCTTTAAATTCTTGAGAGATTGGATCGTAAATTGAAACTTGTTCGTAATTCGGAACTAGTCGCCATGGATTTTTATTGGAAAAATGACCAAAAAACAATCCGTGAAAAGTTGTCTCTTGCTTTTGTACATCCGTTGACTTCACCTTTAAATTGATGTGTAACAGGCCGATTAAACCTTTTTTATTTTTTAGACTCTCTAAAATATACATAAAGTACTACTACTATTACTGTCAGTTTTCCCATCCAATTGAAAACCTGATAAACGTATAGCATTTAATTTAGTTGTATTAAGTCACTCATTCAACTGAACAGTGACATCCATCCAATCCACGAAGTAGGTAAATCTACAAATCACTTCAGAGCAGCTCAATATCTTAAGCTGAAAATTTAAACAAGCGATTTGGGTTATTTTTTCAAATTTTAGCGTTTCATTTTTATGCTTAAACTCATGTTATATCTAAGGTACTCTTAAAATTCAACACACTGGTGTTATCTATCTCAATATTTTAATGGCCATCTTTAATTTATTGTACTCACTATATCTTTTTAACAATTCGGGCCCTGTTTCTCGAAATCTTAACTAAAGATAAAATCCAAATTTTAGTAGATTCTTCAATTTTGATTGGCTAAGCACTAAAATCAATCTAATACTATCCAATCAAATTAATAAAATTTGGATTTTATCTTAGTTAAAATTTCGTGAAACAGCCCTGGTTAAAAGACAAATCCTATTTCGTTTCGTTTTTTATAGTTCAAAATTTCGTTTTACTTGTCTTTACTACACTAGTGGAGACCATCGAGAAAGTATAAAAAAACGAAACAAAATATAGATCTGTATTTGAATCAGATTGTATTTTTAATCAGTTATTTCATTCCCACTCACGTATCTTTACCAATTGTTCATATAGAAGCCTGTGTTTTATATATTTTCGACATAATATTAAGAATATCACATTTTTTCTTGCTTCTGTAGTTTCCCATGTTTTGTTTTAATATTATGTAGTGAATTGTGATAGTGTTAGATGTTTTGTGTTACTCATAAATATATGTAAATACGTTATAAATATTAATACAAATATTTCTCTTTTTTTCACTTAATTTTAGAATCTCGTCAAAGGCAACAGAAATTACTTTTTTTTTCATATCTTCTTTATATTTTTTGCTTTTTTAAATCTTTTAATGCACAGCTTTTTATGTTATTCTGTTTTATTTTACATAGATTTCATTGAAATGCACTATACCCATAGTTTTGGGGGTGGGTGAAGGAAGGGGAGGGGTGTCTTGTCAATTGTATTGATAACAATTTAAAGAATTTCCTTGTCTATGAAAACTAAGGTGTTCAAAGTTAACTTAATAATAATGCTACATATATTGTCTCATATTTTCCTATATATGTGTTAATATGTTTATGTATGTATGTTATATATAATTTAATTTTAAATGTCTTCCCCATTTCTTTTATTTGGTAAATAATCCAGAAAAAAAAACAAAATTCTGAAATGCTGTGTGTTATTGAAAGATGAAAGATAAAAACAGTTTTATCTGAACTGAACCCATTATTAGACTTGAAGCTGCTGATATTATTTGCATTTTTCATGGATTAATCCAAGCTAAAATGAATCAAATTGATTAACATTTCATGCACATAACGAAACCAAAATATCGACAAAGGGTAGATAACCTCCCAGCTTGGACTGAATTGGATTAATAGTGGCAGTGTGGCTTGTTTCATATCATCGACAGATGATGCCGAATGTTGCAAAATTCAATTCATCACACACAAAATGAAATAATGTTTAACGCCTTACTGTTAGGCCAACGCAAGGATGGAACACAGGAACTCCAGGCTAGCGAGCCAACCTCTTACCCACTGAGGCTCCTAATTCATCACACGTGTATTTTTGTAAATATCAAATGATGATGAGCAACCCTTTGAATGTTATCAATACAAAGAAACTTTTATGACATTAGTCCAGATTTTAGATGAAGATATCTTCCTATTTATATAGCTATAATGCCCATTGTTGTTTGTTCACATTTTGTTTTTATGAAATAAATTTTTACCATTTACACATTAAAACTGATCATTTGTTATTATTTTACCATAACTGGTAGTCATCTATTTACATGTATATTTAATCTTAACATTTATAAAAGGTTTCTCCTTCAATATGTTGAGATTTCAACATGTAAGCAGGGGCATATTTGTAGGAGGGGGTTTGCCAGGTTCCTGTTAAGGAAATTTGACAGTTGACAATGCATGAAGCCCGCCATCATCCTCTCCAAATTATATAGGCATACATTAACACTGAGCTTTCTAAAGAGAGAAATCCAACACCCTGTTTGACCTAAATTTTTATTATGAATTAATAGGGGTTGGACCCCCCCAAACACCCCCTCTCTCTGGATCCGCCCCTGGTAAGTAAATAGCCGATCATAACTCACACCAGTATGATATACGATCGTTTCCCTTTTTGTTACTTTGTTTACATTTTGAGTGAAGCCGTTTACTTACATGTACTATAAACATAATGCATGGAATTTTCAATCACATTTTGCAGATTTACTTTCCTATTCCTATGTTCATGTTTACAGAAATTTAAATTTTTTTTTATCAATGGCAATTTAAAAGATGAACATGATCGAAAGTCAGAATGTTTTTGACAGCAAATCAGAGTTATCCCCTTGTTTAGGTTCAAATTTATATCTCTGTCTATGTTTTCAAATTTATATTACATTAACTTGTTAATTAAGTTTTCACTAAAACAATACCCAAATTGCTTGTAAAAAGTCTGATAGATAACCCAAACTTCTACTGTTCCGACAATCTGATAGTCAACTGGCCTGTGCTAAAAATGAACGGATTCACAGATAAATGATAGAATCTATTCTGTAGACATATATTTGAATAGACCACAGTCACCATAGCGATTTATCCAACAATTGATTACTAGACCTACTATACTGCATATTCCTGAAGCAATGGCCTGAGAAATCACTCTCTCTGGCTATTACTGGATGGGCTTCTGATACTTGAACTTTTCCGGGAGTGTGTCTATTCTTCCCGTTCAATCAAATCTATCGCAAGTACAGCAACATGACAGCCCCTCGTTTTATCTGGGGTCTTCCCTAAAACTTTGGACAGTGATTTAAGGCATTAAAAACGGTGAAATTATTGTTCGTCTCCAAACAGTATTGTTTACATTGTATCCGTGTTGATAGCCTCATTTGTCACGCAATTAGTTTTTCTGCAATATTCTGCTATGTACTACTGGTTAATTGGGCATAATAAAATCATGAGTCATGACGTTACGTTATGTAAACATACTTGGTCCAATTTGGAGCTCTGTTTAAAGCGTAATGATATTGTTACGCAGTTAGCTATTGGTTGTTAATCAGACTATTTGGAAGAGAAATTTGCTTCCATTACAGCAGTGTTAAGTGAGATTAGCTCTAATCAAACGAAACACTGCGAGGAGTATGACTATACTGTAGTATTATGGTATTAGAATATAGTAGTAAGCAATGGTGGTCTCAATCCCTTAAAGTACCTGCATCATATTGTAACTGTTGAACTACTTGGGTGTACCGACTCCAGGGCATCCGATTATTTTTCTGGGGACAATGTCAGAAAGGAAATCAACATTTGCTGAATAAGTTTCATCAACAGCAAATCTGAAAACCTTTTGTTGCCATCAGATAACCTATATTTTAATGAAGTTGCAAGAACAGGGAGGGTAGACGAACGATAAATTTACCTTTATCACAACCTGGAAATTTCTGTAAAAATTGTAGGACTACACAAATCTCCTATGAAGGTTCCTTTTTTCAAAATTCTTGCATTATTAGATAAGACCCTGTACAAAACGTTTAGATTTATCACACACATTTATTCAATCAATCAATCCGCTAACTACATTAATTAATTACACATTCTATATCAACTACCACCATGTGTAATTTTAACATTTTTACTTTCCTCTATTTCACATTCACATTTAAAATTTGTTTCATTTTCACATTTAAATTTTTTTTCTTTTTCACATTTTAAGCTTGTTTCACTTTCCCAACTTGAACTTGTTTCACTTTCACATTTTAAGCTTGTTTCATTTTCAAAATCTAGACTTGTTTCATTTTCACATTTTAGGCTTATTTTACTTTCATCAATACAACTGGTTTCACTCTGGTTGTTGTTTGTCAAACTATTTAAATAACTGAAACAACTTTGATCGGTCTCTTCTTTTAACAAATCAGATTCTCTCCCACATTCTGTTAATTCTGTGTTTTTATTTTCTTCCGTGTCATTGTCACTAAATGCATTATTTTCTTTTTGAGATTTGATGCTTTGACTTCCTGAATAATTATAATAATTTTGATATGCTTCATCTAAGAATAATTCATAATCGACATCTCTGTTAGGCCAGTAAACTAAATCTGAAATATAAAAAACAAGCCAACAGTGAGACTGATGTCCCCCGCCGAAATCCCCAAAAAAATAGATGACACATATTAATTAATCGCACATTTATTTTTTCAAAAGTATCGAGCAATCAAACCATACACTAAGTTTCATCACTCTCTATCAGATAGAAGGAAGATTATCTTGTTCCAAACCATTGGCAAATAAAATCGATTAGCTCTGCTTAGCGTCAGCTCGAAATGTTAATCATTGAACTCAGTCAAGACATTCACCTAATGAACATCTACATCAAGTTTAAACATTCACCTAATAGACACCTACGCGAAGTTTGAACATTCTACCTAAATTCCAAAGTCTCAACCAATCAAATTGCTTATCACTCTGCTTACCCTCAGCGAAAAATGTTCATTATCGAACTTAGTCAAGGTATTGATGTAATAAAGCTATGGAACTATAATGAAACTGTAATGAAACTATACACAAAGTTTCATCACTCTCACTTTATTAGAACTAAAGTTATCGAGTCCCAAAGCATCAACCAATCAAACTGCTTATCTCTGCTTACCCTAAGCAGAAAATTCTCATCTTCGAACTCCATCAAGGCATTCACTTAATAGACACCTATTAGTGTGAACATTCTGGCTCAATTAGAAGGAGAGTCATTGTGTTCCAAAGTCGTGACCAATCAAATTGCTTATCACTCTGCTTACCCTGAGCAGAAAATGCTCATTATCGTATTTAGTCAAGGTATTGATGTAATGAAGCTATACACAAAGTTTCATCACTCTCACTTAATTAGAACTAAAGTTATGGTGTCCCAAAGCATCAACCAATCAAATTGCTTATCTCTGCTTACCCTAAGCAGAAACTGCTCATCTTCGAACTCCATCAAGGCATTGACTTAATAAACTTAAATAATTAATAGTCATTAATCAGCCTTTCAGTGGAGTTGGATGGCTGAAAGGTTAGTGCGTGCATGCTGTATCATAAGGTTTGTCATTGAGTCAACTGGTGTGGTTTCTATTCCCCGGTTGTACGTGACAAGGAGTGTTTTCTCCAGGTCCTTTGGTTTCCTCCCAATTCTAAAGACCCCTTTTGCGCAAGCGAATTATTGAAATAAAACTAAACTATATATTAGTCCCGAAATGACCTAGTTTGTGCTGAGTAGACGTTAAACCCCATTTCTCTCTCCCTCTCTTAATCAGCCATTCATATTTCACGAATATTTGTATTTTAGAGAGTGGTGGTTTTCATTATATAAATAATTACCTGATGCTTTATAATAGACATCTTTTAAATAAAGACCACATGATGGTGCTGATTCAATCTTGTGATCTTCTAAATGTTTTGGATCTTGTAAAAATTTCTTTATATCCTCCACCTGAAACTTTCCTCTACCAACAGCAACCATACAACCAATCATTCGACGAATCTAAAATCAAATCAAATGGGGTTTAACTTCCTACTGTTCTGCACCGATTGGGCTAATGAAGACGGGCATATATATACCATGCAGTGTGCTATAAGGGAAATTTTGCTCGGACAGCGGCGCTATGGCTTACTCTTATATCAAATTCCAACTGCCAAGGGATCTTTTACGTGTAAACCAATGTGTACACGGGACCTTGGTTTTTCATCCCATCCAAATGAATAGACAGTTGTCCTTGTCAGGACCTCAGTGGTGCACCAGTGACATGGGGAAACCATGCCCGAAAATCCTGATGAATTTTCTCGGCCAACACCAGGATCATACCTGTGACCTCCAGACTAGTGAGCCAGCATCTTACTTACTTAGCCACTGTGGCTCCTGAATCTAAAATGAAATAAAACGTAAACAAGTGTTAGACATTAACACCCACAAGCAGGTGGGTTGTCCTTTCAGTAACATCAACTTTGGTTGGTAAGGATCCATTATACACACACAAGCAGGTGGGTTGTCCTTTCAGTAACATCAACTTTGGTTGGTAAGGATCCATTATACACCCACATGCAGGTGGGTTGTCCTTTCAGTAACATCAACTTTGGTTGGTAAGGATCCATTATACACCCACATGCAGGTGGGTTGTCCTTTCAGTAACATCAACTTTGGTTGGTAAGGATCCATTATACACCCACATGCAGGTGGGTTGTCCTTTCAGTAACATCGATTGGGGTTTGTAAGGAGTAAGGACCCATAGTACACCCACAGGCTGTCGTTTCATTAACAGGAAACTCACAAGCAGGGAACACTACAATCTTACAAATCCCTATCCAGATTCCACTAATCAGTCATTAAATATCCAGATTACACTAATCAAACAGTCATTAAATATCCAGATTACACTAAACAAAAAAGTCATTAAATATCCAGATTACACTAATCCAAAAGTCATTAAATATCCAGATTACGCTAATCAAAAAGTCATTAAATAACCAGATTACACTAATCAAAAAGTCATTAAATATTACCTGTTTATAAAGATAGGACTTCGATTTGAAATGCATTTCCCACACATCATAATCAGGTTTTAAACTATATTCTTTTTGTAAAATCATATCGCCTCTTCGTATACCAATTGTTACATTTCTGTAGGGATGTGTTATTCCGTCACGTCGTTGTGATTCAACAGTTATGGCACTAAAATCATGCACGCCAGATAATATTTCTGCTGTTTTTAAGAATGCTTCTACATTAAATGGGCGTCTAAAAAACAGAAAATTTATTGACAATTATTATGTAATATATGGTGGAAAGGAATGGGTTTTGATATCTCATCTAACAACACAACACTTTGGTCATTTGGACACAAACATGTTGCCCCGATGTGCTGTTTCCAATTATACAGCAATTGTTCAATGCCAATGTGTACATGGTTCGACCTCAGGTTTTCATACCATCCGAATGACTAGGTTGTATAATCCTGAAAGTTCTTCTCTGCCCAGTTTGGGATTCGAACTCAAGTTAAACTAGAATTAGTATGAGTTCAGGCTAACAGAGTGAAATTTGGTTTCTATTACATTCCCTCAGCCATTTAGTTGTATCAGACACATATACTGCATAAAATCAAATTACATAGGCCACACAAAAAAAATATTCTGATTCTCAGACAATCCTTCCCAAAAAATTACCTAGTGTCGTTTATGGTTGTCAATAGTGTTCCCATGGTTAAGTACTTGATAGCCGATTCTAGTGTTCAGTTCCTCTTTTCAAGAAACGTTTAATAGAGTTACTGCCCTTGGTTCGCAAGAAATGAAGGTGCAGAAATCCATAACAAAACATCTATATTATTTAATAAGGACGTTTCGTAACACATACAGGTCACATTTTCAAGTTAACTTATAACTACTTCTCTATTATTTAATAACAACGTTTCATAACACATACAGGTCACGTTAACTTGAAAACATGACCTGTACATGTTACGAAATGTGGTTATTAAATAATAGAGAAGTAGTTATATCCATATATACCTTGTGTTGTGTTTTGTTATGAATAGTTAACCATGCTTCTAGATGTCATTTAAAGAATTGGTGCAGAAATTATTAACTTTGTTTTTATATTCTTAAAAATAAAAATGGGTGACAAGGCATGGGCAGATCCAGGAATTTTTGCAGGAGGGGGTTTGCCAGGTTTCTGAGACAATGTATCTTCCCCCCCCCCTCCCACTTGGTCTCTATCGTCATTTTGGCGAATATACATACACATTGAGCTTTTTAAACAGAGAAATTTTTATTATGAATTAATACAATGACATTGTGATTCAATTTCATGGATGAAAAGCATCAATTGTGATATCACATAATGTCTATATCATTATCTCGTGCTTTGAGTGCCCATCCTGTCCCACATCTGACGATAAAACACACGGTAGAGAAACTTTTCTCATAAAAAGTTTTGATATACAAAAAAAATTTATGAAGCTGAGAAGGGGGGGGGGGGGGTGACCCCCCAAACCCCCCCTCTGGATCCGCCCTGCAAGGCCCATTTTTGATGATGCAGCAGTGTCTTAGAACCAGAATTTTTTTTTTTGTGTGGCCTTATTTTCAAGTTTGAAAATATATGAAACTTGTTGAAGATTGAGACAGGAGAAAGTAACCTTGCCAATTTTTTAAGTTATCTCCCCTTTAGTCTCCCAACTTACTTCACAAAATAAAGTCGATCACTCTCCAAAGGACACCATAAAGTCTTAGGATCATCAACATCATCTTCTGATCTAGGTATAGCTAATCTATACAGATAACTCCTACCAATCGCATTATAACGAGAGTGAAAATCATCACATACTCGCATAGTTTTTAAAATTCTGAAATAACAATTATATGTAACTTAAAAATCAAACAAGAATTTGAAAACTAATTTTTGCAATATTTTCCTTCATTATAAATGGGTCACTGACCATATTTGGACCAAGTGTTACTGAGAAAGGGCTTGACACATCATGATAAAAAAACAATCTAAAGTATATCACATGTATGCTTGGAGACTGGGTCTAGTAGTATATAGGCAGTATTGTTTCTATAGTTCATTGCTTGTCAAGTAGTTAAGTAGTTGCCAAGAAAAGGGCATTTTAAACAAAGGTGCCTCACCACTATGCTGTATTAGCTGAAAGGGGTAGTAAAAGAACACTTGGCACAAATTTTGAATCATTAACTTAATGTTCCCCTCGGTTACAAATCAGATGGATTCCTGTATATTTGAGGAATTAGAAATTGACAAGATTAGTGTTTTATCAAATAACTTTACCTAATATATTCTCCACCTCTTGATAATTTTTTATTTAGATAAGATGTGAGATTACTTGCTTCAAATTCCTGTCCATATTTGCTGCAAATGTAGATAAAATGGAAAAAAAAAGTTAGTATCTAATTTACACCATATCCAGCTTTATTTAAAGAAAGTAGTTTAATAAAAGGATTTAGCAAACCAAAAATGTATGCACAATTAGAGAACCGAAAACATAAAATTTGGAGGAAATTAAAGAGCAAATAAAATGATCATATAAAACAGGTATGTCATTCTGATTATATTCAATTTCCAAAGATTATTCAATATATATTCAATTAAATTATTCAATATATATACGAATGTTTGTGTTAAATTGTGCCATGTCCTAGTTTATTGGCAAGTTGAACGAAGTTAAAGATACATTATGGGAGATTAGGTAAAGAGCTGGCAGCTCTCATTATAAAAGTTAAAAACTAGATAATGTAAAGGGAATTTGCTGAAAAGTTAAGTCAAATTGATCCACTCTGAACCGAGAATTTAGCGATTGAATTTTGGTACGATCATTACTAAAGTTGGTACGATAAAAAACATAGTCTCGATTATCCATTTTTTTGATTTAATCATCACATCAAATTGAGCAGCATATAGGATTCTAATCCAGTAAATATCGCAGGCTAGTGATGACATCAAGAGTTGATTATGGTCTGGATAAGTTAATTAATAATTTAGATAACATTTCAGGCCTAAAGAAAGACCTGCAATTGCCAGATTTAGCTCTTGCATAATGTATGTTTAAAGAAAAAAAGATGTATTGCCATTGATTGAAAATCAGAGAAAACATACAGTAATTTTTTTATTTTGTAAAAGTTTATTTAAAAGATTATCTTAAAGCAGCTCAATAAAGTATTAAATTAGGTTGATCTGAATCTTTTGCTAAGTGAAGGATTATTAAATTTTGTTTCAAAAGGTCAAGCGGAGTCGGCTTCTTTACCAATCTTTTAGACTTTATCATGTCTTTATGTAGTGTCAACAGTTGAACACAAAATCTGTATGTATCGACTCAAATGATCACAGATTGTTTTTCAGGAAAACAATGAAATCAACAATTTATTTTTTGCACCAAATCATGGAGGTCTTTCCATCTTAAATTTCTGATCTTGCTTTAGAAAGCCAGTTGTAACATGTGTAGGGGGAGAGAGAGAGAGAAATGGGGTTTAACGTCCACTCGACACAAACTAGGTCATTTCGGGACTCACATATGGTTTAATTTCATTTCAATAATTCACTTGCGCGTAGGGGTCTTTAGCAGTGGGAGGATCCAGAGAAAACCCACGAGGTTGGACAGGCGACCATACTCCTTGTCATGTACAACCGAGTATTTGAAACCACACCAGTTGACTCAATGACAGGCCTTATGATAGAGTGCGTATGTGCTAACCATTCGGCCATCCAACCCCCAACATGTGTAGCACCTACTTACTATAAAATATCTATATGAACAGTGTTAATAAGTGCATGGACTCCCTGATCTGTTCTACTTGATGTTCTAACTTTAACTTCATCTCTTGTATCTAAATTATTCAAACATTTCTACAAAATAAAAACATATAGTTATGTCATATGAGCAGTTCATAATGGTTGTCACAATCACATATCAGTTAGAGTATGTGCACATTGCAAAATAAAATGAAATTGGGTTTAACGTCCTACTGTTCTACTCAGGCTGGGCTAATGAAGATGGACATACACCATACAGTGAGCTATAATGGAAATTTTGCCTGGAACACCGGTGCATATGGCCTACTGTTATATCGAATTCAAACTGCAAAGGAATCTTGCCTGGCCCTCTGTCCTGCTCCACTGACAAATGCGGACCAAGTCAGAAAACCCTGACCTCCAGGTTAGCGAGCCAATGTCTTACCAACTTAGCCACCATGGCGCCAATGTCTACATTGCAGATTTCACTTAATTCCTTGATTAAATCAAAGATTTAATCCATCTTTTCAAAACCACCGACTTTAGTAATGGTGATCGAGCTAGGCCAAAAATTCAATCGCTAATTCTTGGTTCATAGTGGATCAATTTGACTGAAATTTTCAGAAAATTCCCTTTAAATTATCTAGTTTTTAACTATTATAGTGAGAGAACTGCCAGCTCTTTATTTAATCTCCCATAATGTATCTTTAAAGATGCATTGTGTAATAAGGTTTAGATAAAGAGTTGTTCTTTCTTGCAATAATAGTTCAAAAATAAATAAATGAAAAATGAATATATTCAAAATTTTATTTTATTCAGAGCAAAGTTATGAGCATTTTCAGGTTTGACAAGATCTAGCGTAGATTTTTCATTATCGTAGCAACAGGAATTGGCATTCTCAAATAAGTCTTGATTATCTATTCTATCTATGTATCCCGATGTTCTAGAGAGGAGGATTGGGATGGCCTAGTGGTCTAGAGTGCCACGCTTCGAAATCTAGCTGGCCGGTCAACTCTGATGTGAACGCATGTGGCTTGGAGATAGGGGCGCCTTCTCAACCTCGTGGGTTTACTCCGGGTACTCTGGTTTCCTACCACAGGAAAGACCCTGCGCATGCGCTAAGATAATAAAAAAAAAGAAAAATAAGAATGTCTTGAGAGTTGATTATGGACTTGTCATAATAATAAATGTTTAAATAACAATTTAAAGCCAGAAAAAAGACCTGCAATAGGCGGATATAGCTCTTACATATGCATCTTTAAACTAAGTCAACTAACCTCTAATACACCTGCAACTGTTTTAATATCTGGTCTTTGTAAATTACCTACTTTTTGTATCTGAATTCCACTTAAATAGACAAAAGACAACACACTAATTTATATTACATAAGGTTACAGCTGTAGCCTAATAATCTGTACATTGAGTACTCTACATGATTGGTTATTGATATTGTATATTGTATAGAAAGATCTCACAGATCTATCATCTAAGGGATCAGGATCTTTTATAGTTGAACACTTAATTGTCTCACTGGTTTACATCTGATTTTTCATTGTCCCAGTAATCAGATCATCTTTCTACTATTACTGTAATAGTGTATTTCTGCTGACTTCTCATGATTTAAGGGGATCGCGGTGGCTAAGTGGGTAAGACGCTGGCTCGCTAGCCTGGAGGTCAGGTGTTCGATCCCTGCATTGGCCGAGAAACGTCATCCAGATTTTCCGGCGTGGTTTCCCCTTGTCAGTGATGCAGGACGGAGGGATTGACAAGGACAGCTGTCTAGTTGTGCGGATGGTACGAAAAACCAAGGTCCCGTGTACACATTGGCATGCACGTAAAAGATCCCTTGGCAGTTGGAAATGTAATTCTATATAAGACTAGGCCGTATATATATATATGTATAGTGCCGCTGCCTGGGCAAAATTTCCCTTATCGCAGACTGTATGGCATATGCCCGTCTTCATTAGCCCAGTTTAGGAGCAGAACAGTAGGACGTTAAACCCCATTTCATTTCATTTCATTTCTCATGATTTAAAAATTAATAAAATGCTCTCCTCAATTAAGTCAATAACTTCAATAAGAGTCTCATACCCAGATGCCGGTTGAGAGTGAATTGTTACTGGAAGTAACTTTCCCCTACAATTTCAGATTATTTTTCGTAATTGAATTAGATCTAAACGAATTAATTACCTGTACTTAGTTCCTACATATGACAGAAACAACAGAAATCTCCCCATTGATAAAAATTTAAATGCTAAATTAAAAGTAGAACACTAAAGTAAAAGTAGAGGTCTGAAAGGTCAAACTTGAACCTTTAACGCCATAGTCATAGTATAATATTTTCATTATATTCCATAACGACCCGAAAGCGACAGTATTTTTTTTGATCTAGCTTATCAACTTAACCTTGTACTTTTTTTTTAAGATAAGGTTGAATTTGATGTAAACCATGGAAATAGAGGTGATATAACATAGAACACGCGCCTAGGAACGATAACTTGGAGTACAGAACCGGAAATGACTAAAGGCTAGTAAAAGTCATTTCAAATAAAGATTTTCTGTCATTTGATTATCAGTAATAAATAGCGAATTCAGGTAACCGTATGACGATTCCTTCATCTGGAATTCCACGCTTTTCCTTTCATTTTTCTATTAAAAAGACAAAAAAAGGTTTTGTCAGTTCTGATATCGCATGCGCATTTTCTACCGGAAGTCACAAAATGGAGTTTGGTTCTTGACAGCGAGGCTTTGCGCACAATACTGGATCTTCAATGAGTTACTTTCTATTTTTCACTCGGCAACCGGCTGCAGATTTCACTCGGCCAACTTCGGTTACTCCTCTACACCAAACCATGTTTCCAAACAGAATTATCTTTCCGTGACCCGCAAATTATATTTTACTGGTTTGCTTTTGGCGCAATATTCTGATGTTTAGGCTAACACTGTTTTTAACGGCGTCAGCTTCTTATATTTATTGGGCTACAAACACTAAACAGTTGTCTTTTATTTTCTGAGGAGATTTTCTGACCTGGGTAATGTAAATGAAGTTTGTTACTTTATAGTAGGCTAGTATTTGACTAAAACTGCATAAATCAAATCTTAATCATAGATGTACCGATTGTAAATAATTTTTTTTGCTGACGAAGTCTTTTCTAACTTTTGGGGTAAGACTACTAACTAAGTAGCCTACATTGAAATTAGTGCTAGTACAGTAGAAGTGGTCTTGGCGTCGGGTAATCGATATGAAAACAAGTCTACATTATAATTAGGCCTAGATATCTACCTAGTCCGACTTCATTTCAAGCATTTTATTTATACCCCTTAAGTTGTAGTAGTGACAGTTTAACTACAAGTAAGTACAACAGCAACCAACAGGGGGTCACAGTATCGTGACTCATGGACTTGTCAGGAGTATAACTTGAGCCTGAGAATGATCAATGAGATACACACAAATGGATAAGTCTGATAATCAGTTAATAAATCAGATGTAACTTGTAAATAAAGGCACTGTATGACAGTGTATGTAGGCCTACATATGATATATATTCTAAATACTAATAAATAGGCCTAGTAGTATTGTTTTATTAATATTACCTATTTATTAATTAATAGGGTTTCAGGTCAAACTCAAAGTTTCAAATGATCAAAACGCTCTATATACCAGTCAATGCGTGGGATGGCACCAAAATAAGTGCTTTTCTGTCATATTTGAGTGACGTCATGAGTCATAAGCGGTATTTTCCCTTCAGAATCGCTATACTGGCTAGGCTCTATATAGTACCAATTTTAAAACTGAATGAAATCCGCACGTTATTGTCAGCTAAGATTTATTAAAATCATAATTATATATTATAGATCTAATTTCAAATATTATACTTAACTAATAGAATCAATTAAGCTTTTACTATCTAATATGGTCGAAGCTCAGGTCCTAAAAACGCCTTTAATTTATGGTTTCTGTTATTCTTAAATAGATATTGTTAGGGACCTCATGCTGGAGGTTCGGTCGCATGATCATTTAATGTTCGAATTCTATACAAAATTGTAAAGTCTGAAGTTAGTATCAATGTAATTTGCTTATCTGGTCAACAAAGGTCCATTTACATTGATTTTGATGGAAAATTAGATCTGAATTACATATTACATATTTAAAGTTTATATTTCTTGATTATAAAGGTAGAATTTGAAATTATTTTCTCAGTGTTTTAAATGGGTTGGTTTTTTTTTTTGATGGCTTTGACCATTAAATTGAAAAAAATCAATGAAATGGACCTTTGTTGTGGTGTGGATAGGCTTGGGTGTAGGGGTGCCGGGAGCCCAAGTAGTGTCGTTAAAAAAGTATTAACATTAGTGTTACTTTACTCTTATTTTATGAAAGTTTTTTTCGCAAGTTGATTTCCTTTATTTTTTTAATGTAGAATGGTAATGAACTGCTTTTTTCCTTTTCTTTGCTTTATTTGTTCCGTTTGAATTTGATTTATCTGTTTAGTTTTTGATTGTTTAATTATTGTTTTTGTTAATTAAGTTGATTCTTTTAAACTTTGTTTTTATTTTTATACGTCCGTCGTCCACAATTTCTTGTGAACGCTCTAGAGACTAAAGTTAATATCTGATATTTACTGCCAGAGTTATAGCCCTTGATCACTTTGATAAATCTTGTGAACGCTCTAGAGGCTAAAGTTAATATCTAATGGACTCCAAATTGTTACACAGTGTGTAAGGTCATGAGACGAAGAAGCCTAATGATTTTCAGCGATATCCGATAATTACTACCAGAGTTATGGCCCTTGATCACTTTGAAAAATCTTGTGAACACTCTAGAGGCTAAAGTTAAAATCCAATTGACTTTAAATTTATACACAGTGTTTAAGGTCATGAGACAAGACGCCTATTGATTTTCAGCGAGATCTGATGATTACTGCAAGAGTTATGGCATTGATATGTGAGAGACATCAGTTTAAAGTCGATTCTGGTTATTATAATCTAATGTATGAACTTTGTGTTGATTTTACCAGCCTGTAATTGTGGTATCATAATTAATTGTGATTTTAACATTTTTTTTAGTTAACTATATTAAATGAATTCCAAATGTACGTGTTGGCGAGGGGGTACATTAATAATTATATGTTTTTGTAGTACATGTTCCTTGTTTTATAATAAAACTACGCCCTTTCATTTTTCAGAAGAAAAGTATAGAAAATATTTCCAATTATCTATCTTGAGGTAAATCAGTTTATTATTTTCATTAACAGTTCTTATTTTTGTAAATTTTTATGTAAATCAACTACTTGTCATTGGAGTGCATCTCAAAATTCACTTTCCTTATCTACATAAAGTTTATGTAATAAGTTATAGTGTGTAAATTTGAAGTAAGTTCATATGTTTTTTTATTAATTATTTACAGATCACAGAGATTGAATGCTGCAGGTCTTGTGTTTAGTGTATAGACTAATTGGTGGATGTTATTAACATTAACCTTTTAGCAAAGGTTAGCTTGATGATGTTACTGCAGTGTAGTGGAAGATGTTAACCTAACTTTGGTAGACAACAAGCCTAACCCTGAAGTCAACGATGTACAATATGTCAGTGTCACGGTTCCACTACCAAACGTAACGCGAATATAAACAATACTTACGGGTACATGTATTTACTTTGATTGAAATGAGGTCAACTTAAAAATTTGTGTAGATGTGTTATTTGTTGTAACAGTTATATCCATAAAAGTTATATCCATAAAATGTAAATTGTATTTTCTCTATATTAGTATAACAGATTAAACGAAATAAGATTATTTCACTCATGACTCGTAGTCACCCACCATCGTAGAAGTGTCAACATATCGAGAACACGCATTCATGAACCATGATTAGTTGGGACAAATTAATAATGAGGAATACTGTTTTCAAAGGCCTTAAGACAGGAAAGTGGTTATTGGTCACAACATTCATGTGTCACTGCAGGGGAGGGGGTGGAGTCAAATGATAATGCATTCGTGTTGGATAATAAGGTCTGTCATTTAGTGAAGAGGCTTAGCTTCGTTTCCAAGAGTAGGGTCGACTGCATTCCCACTGTTAAGATTTCGAGAAACAGGGCCCAGATTCTCACATCAGATACTTGAACCACAGAAAAGGTTACCTTTCAGAAAATTGGCTCTGTAGCCTAAAACTGAATCACCTATATCTCGGTTCAGAGCAAAGCAATCTGACTGAAATTTCAGCATTTTCTGTTTCTATTATTTATTGTTGAACTATTATAGCGAGAACTGTCAGCTCTTATCTAATCTTACCCAATGGCGCCAATGCCCCTTTAAAATGCCCCTTATAAATCTAGTTTAAAATCCAAATATTTGTCTAAACTTTAGACAGACCTTATGATCTACTAGTATTCTCCAGTTGGTCAATTTCACTGCAAGTCAGTCAAAACGGCCAAACATGACTGTCGAAAATAAGACAAATAAGGTTGGAAGTACCTTCAAAACAAACCATGGCACTTGAATCAATGACAGACCTTATGATCTAAAGCATACATCAGACCACTCAACCACACAACTGGTAAAGACTTTAGACAAATATTTGGATTTTAAATTAGAAACAAAACCATACTGTTGAAGATGTAATTGAGACAAGACATTAGACTAGCACTTATATTTATTAGCAAAAAAAAGCCAACAATTTGATTGGTTTTAGTGCTTAGCCAATCAAAATTGAAATTTCTACTAAAATTTGGATTTGATCTTAGTTAAAATTTCCCTACTTTTAAGTTCTGGTAAAATGTCCTTATGTGTCGGAAGTTCTGATTTGTCGACTAAACGAAAGCGACCAGACTGTCCACCGTTGGCTTTGAGAAATGCGACAATTTTGATCGGTGACATACTTTGCGTTACAATGGTGTACATCTGATTTCTAGTGGAATGATTTATAAAGCGAACTGGAACGGGGAGGTTATACAGTAAGCCGTTAATCTGGCGTGTGATATGATGAGGGAAAGCAGGTCCAAACAGTAGATCTTTTAGCATTTTAACTTTTATGAATTCGTCTAGTCGTGCCTAGGCAGCTTTTAAAATAAATCTATCAGCATGACGGTAATGTGGTTTTCTAGGATATTTCTTCTTAGCCTGTGAATCTGTTACTTCTTCCTTCATTTCAACATCTGTGTCACTGGTCTCAGTTTCTGAATCAGTTCCCTCAGCTGTAGTAGCTGTAACGTTTTCTCCTGCATCCTCGGCAGCTTTCTTCAACACCTCCGCTTCTTTAAGCAACGTATCAAAACTGACAGATTCTATCGCTTGATCAGGTTTAGTGTAAGCAGAAACCTGGAATGAAAAACGATTTACTAAGACATGATATCTAGGTTAACTTTAAATAATGGCATTCATCAATTAAAGGTCAAATCTGTGCCTAGCCAGGAAGGCATTTTTATGTGCAATACAAGAGCAGAACGAAAACCAAAGTGGCTCAGTACATGAGGTGCCAGCTCTGTGGATAAGCCATCGGCTCAGGGGTTAAGCCACCAGCTCAGTTGGTAAGACAATGTCTCAGTGGGTAAAGACCCACCTCTGTGGGTAAACCGCTGGCTCGGTGGGTTCTGACTCGGTGTGTAGGACACTGGCTCATTGATAAGAATCTGTTTTTAATCTGGCCAATGAAGTTCCTCAGGTTTTTCCAGCCTTTTTTCGTCTTGTTGCAAGGGCAAGATGGACTGGACAAGAAAAAAGGTCCCTTGTATAGCCATTGGCAGCATGTTGA